CTTGTGGTGAAGGAGGCTCTAAGGGGGGGGGTGGGGGGGAAGGAGGAGGTAGAAGGGCCAAGGGCTCAGCTTGATAGGTTGGTAACTTGTGCATTTTTTCTTCCTTTTATTTCCGTGGCTGAGCGTCCTCCTCCTTTTCTGCTGGAGTACGTTGTAGCGGCGTCGTGTTCGGGCGAGGAGGGCGCTTGGGGTTAAATAAGGGCGCTTGTTCAGCTCCTCGACAATGGCCGTCGCCCGTTCCCCCTAACAGTCGCCGGCCCGGAATCGGATTGGCGTTGCAACCTACATCGGGAATTGCCCGTTATCGTTCCAGATGACTGTGCTTGAGGAGGAGAGGGCGCGCTGTGCTGCTTGCACGCGTTGAAATCGACTGCCGTTCAGCCAACTGTGTCTGCGGTCGTATTGTTTGCTTTTTATCGCCCTGGGAACGTCGTGCCATTTCGCCACCCATTGTAATTGCCTCTGCGTTTCTGCCTTTGGGAATCGCCGGCGCTGCTTTTGCTTGCCGCCGCACGCGATGCTCTGTGCACATCGGCGGGGCCATCATTTTTTCTCTCGTCTCCGGTTTGTGTCATTCGCCTGCGTCAGTGATGCAGCGTGTTGGAGTCAATAAAAGTAACGTTAAGGGATACTTCCGCGGGAGCGAGGCGGGGGAGGGGGAGCGGCCCGACGGTGACGATGGCGAAGCCCGCGGTAATGAAGGAACTGTTTTATGGCAGGGTTAGAGCGCCCTCAGGCCGGGCGCCGTCGCACCGGATTTCCATAAAGCGGAGGCGGGTGCGGAGGGCGGAATCTCCCGTGATGGCGGCGTGAGATCCGAGCGCGAGGCAGCAGATTACGTTATGGAGGGGGAGGGGCTTGTAGGCGCGGGCAGGCGCGCTACGTAATGCAGTTTAAAAGGAAATCTTTGGTGTGATCTTAAGCGCACAGTCGCACACTCACACAGGACACATTTGCACGTGGGCGTGCGAAGTATCCCATGGCGTTGAGCTCTGGCGATAGACGAGTTTCCGTCTCGCAGCTTTATTTCCCTGGAGACTCGGCAGTCCTCGCGCCACGGTAGCTCTGGGCACCTACTGCATAAGCCTATGCTACGAAGGAAGGACACAGCAGTAACAACTTCATTCTTCATACATACCTAGTACGAGGAACAGAAGTAAAAAGTATACTGCCGTCTTATTTCAACTCTGAAATACGTTCGCAGCGGCCGGCGCACCAGCAGGCGGCGGGGGCGGGGATGGAGGCGGCGAGGGTGGGTCGAGAGAGCGGAAGTGGTGCGTGACCCACACCGGCGGCCCAGCATTAGTTACATGGTTCGCCAGGGGAGGCATGCTCCCCCCCCCCCTTCCCATTCACCTTCACCTTCCTCTTTCCCTACACACACCACATGCATTGCGATCCCGCCACACTTCAGAGCCCATTGTCGGAGGATTCTGTCTTGCGCCACCCCTTCCTCTTGCGTTTCCAGGTGGCCTCCATCTTCGGTGGCCCTTGACCTCCTCTGCCGCGAAGAAGACCTTAGGAGGAAGGAGGGGTTATCTGCGGGCTTCCCTCGGCATTCCACCCTCTCTCCTGTACAGCTCTCGCGCCCATTCTAGCGTGTGGCGCGCGCTTGAGGGCTATGGGCACCCTCTGGGCCGCTTCGTCCCTTCGTCGCCCTTGTCTCTGCTGCGGCTCCTCGCGAGAACCGGCGGCTGTGATGTATTGTCCTGTCGCCTCATGGCCGTTTGCTTGTTTGTGTAGTGGGAGCCAACAGCTGATCTTGGCCGTCCTTTGCAGCTCCTTTCTTGTTCGGTGCGCCCCTCCCCCCTCAGCATGTGCCAGGCTGCACCTTCTTCTTTCCTTTCAACTTTTCCTAATGATCCAGGCAGTCTCGTTTCGCTCTCGGAAGGAGGCTGACGTAGCACCGGCTGCAAGAGGAAGTAGGGGAAGATGCTGGCAGAGGAGGATGACTCGGAGTCGAGGGGAAGGATGGCTCCTCGAACGCCTGTCATTCAACCGGAGGGGGGGGGGCGAAGAGAGGCGATGTTAATCCCATCGAGTTTGTTTTGTTACTGGGGTTAGTTCGAGGAAGGAAGAGCAGGGGAGAAGGGAGGAAGAAGGGGAGAGGGATAGGGAGAGAATAAAGAGAAATAAAAAAAAGGCAAAATCGGAGGAAAAGGAGGAGGGTGAGTTGACAGGGAATGGAGGGAGAGGAGACAAAATAAGAAGGAAAAGGGAGAAGGAATATGAGGAAGAGGGAGCAGCAGAAGAGGATTGTGGGCCTTCTATCCCTCCGCGAGGCATGTGACATTCCGCTGGTCTTACGTCTTCTTCTATAATTCTTGCTCCCTTCCATTCTCCCTTCCTTCCGGGAGCTGTCCCTCCCCCTCGGTATAAATATCTTCCCCGAGTCTTGTTTGGTTGTCGCCGCGTTCCCCCTCCCCTCTTCTTCCCCTTGTTATTCGTTGCCGCTGCATATTTCCTCGCCAAATATAACCCGAGGGAGCTCTCCCTCGCGATGCCGCCCCAGCCGCCGCCGCCGCCGCTCATGGTCGCGAATGGTAATCCGGCTGATGTAATGGCGTACGGCGAGCGACCTCTAGCGGCGACGGATATTCCAGAAGCAGTCCCGCTCAGGTGTTTATGTGGCGGAAATGACGTCACGGCGATTGCTGCTCTCGGGGGACGTTTACGTCGGTTGACCACAACGCACGCGGATATCGGGCAGGAAATTCGCCGCTCACTGGAGTCGAGCCGACGGGAAGGAACTCTCGCCTGTGCACGCCCACGCCCGCGCCCATCTTCCGTCTTCGTTGAATTTTGGTCGTCCGGTGTGTTTTCGGGCGAAGGTCATGCGCACGTGTATCCGGCCTATTGTTCACAAGATCACGCCTATGCCGTGCCGTGTCCTTTGTGTTTATGTAAAGGGTGCGGGAGGAAGGAGGGAAGGGGAGTGTCCCCTCCGTTCGCCGTCCGCCATAGTCCGTCCGTCTCCAGGATCAGCTGTTATGACTCCGCCAGCTGTTCCTGCCGCCAGAACTTGTTCTCAACCGTGCGTCTGTTATATGACTTTGGCGTGTTATCTGCGAGAATTATCTTCCGCGTTTTGGTCTGCTTATTAAATTGTCCTCTCGTTGTCTACGCACATGGCCACGCCCCCTGGTCCTCGCCGGAGTCTTTAGTTTGTTTTTGTAAGTCAGAATCCTGTCCGTTCTCCATTCACTTTAGCGAATGGAGGTTAAGCGAGTAGTGTGATAAAATCTGCGTTATGTAAATGATGATACGGAGAGTGATGTTGACATTAGTAACGATGATAATGGTGTAATGTAGAGGATGATGGTGGATATTTTTTTATGATTAAAATGAAGGCGGTGGTAATTGTGTAATGGTGATGATAATGATAAAAAGGATGAAAGCTGCCTAGGGTTGGATAAAATAACGTTACCAGTAAATACCGAAGGTGCATGACAGCAAGAGCAATAGCCTTGGCCCGAGAGTTCTGTCTTGGGAAGAGTCCCCGCGGGCGTACGGCGGACGGGCGGGCGGGCGAGGTAGGGAGAGGCTCGGTGGCTCGGGGAAGGGCGGGGCCTGATTGGGCGCGCTGATAGGCAGGGATAGGACACACCGGTCAGGTACGAGGATAGGGGTGAGTGGGTGACCGTGTTAGCGAGGCGGGCACACTTAGGGTACGTTGTGGTAGAGGAATGCGCCGCGCGGGATGGCTAGGGGGTGTGGTCTGGCATGGGCGAAGGAAAGAGTCAAGGGAAGAAGCAAGAAAGGTGGAACGGAAGAAGGAAGGCAGGAAAGACGGACAGAGGGAAGGAGTTGAATGGGAAAGGTTCGCTCGCGTGGTCACTGAACCTGTTTGTTGCACTGTGGGATTTTCATTCATTGAATCGGAAGAGCGTTGTCGTTATTCAGACAAGAATTTGACCAGATTTGCGGAGGACCGTTTCTCTTTGGAAGTAAAGGAAGGTTGGATATTGCCTTTGTATGGAGGGAGGGAGTGTAAATTTAATGCAAGTTCCCTGAATAGGGCGGCGAAACGGCGGAAATATCGCCCCTTATTTTTGAGAGGATTGCGACAGTGAAAGGTCTGCCAAAAGACGCATATAACCTCCGCTTTATGACACGGGGGAAATATTGTCAGGTCCCCCCCCCTCCCCTCCCTGCCCATACCCTACCCCTGTCAGCCTCTCCCCCCCTCTCTCTCTCTCTCTCGCCCTTCGTCACCCTCACCCTACCTACCTGACCTGCGTCCAAGTGCCAAGTGTAAATCAAGAGTGCCCTGTGGTGAATGTAGGTCAAAGAGGACGCCGACCAGGCACTATTATTATCCCCAGGTGACACTCCTGATGGCTTGTGCCAGCTTATGGTCGGGAAATAGGGGGGGGGGGGAAGGAGGGAGGTGGAATGGAGGAGGAAGGAAGGAGGTGGAATGGAAGAGGAAGGAAGGAGGGGGGGGGGGGCAGGAGGGAAGACCTGAAGGAAAGAATGAATGAAATGAAAGAAAGGAAGAAGGGACGGGAAGAAGGAAGAAAGAAAAAAGGTGGGAAGGTTTGTTGGTAAGCACTCACTTACACACACACACACTTTTGGTAAACAAGAGAAATGAAATGAGGAAAATGGACTCACTCACTCACTCACTCACTCACTCACTCACTCACTCACTCACTCACTCACACACACACACGCACACTCACTCACACACACGCACGCACACTCACACACACTCACACTCACACTCACACTCACTCACACACACACACACACACACACACACACACACACACACACACACACACACACACACACACACACTCACACTCACTCACTCACTCACTCACACACTCATCACTCACTCACTCACTCACTCACTCACTCACTCACTCACTCACTCACACACACACACACACACACACACACACACACACACACACACACACACACACACACACACACACACACACACACACACACACACACACACACACACTCAAACAAACAAACACGCACACGCACACAGAGGCAGGGAGCCTGGGCGAGGCTGCTGCGGCCGGTGACACAGCCCTCTTCGCGGTGCCAGGTCCTCCTCGCGATTATTAGTCTTTTTCTGTTCGCGCTCATATCGGGCCTCGCCATCTTGGTATTGCTTTTAGCTGTCGGACGTGTTCTTCCTCCATTTCCTCTTCACATCTTTCCTTGTTCTGCTCATGGTCTTTCCGTTTGTCAGTTTGTCTGTCTGTCTGTCTGTCTGTCTGGCTTCCTTCCTTCTTTCCTTCCACCTTACTTTCCTTCATTCTTACTTATACTTTCTTTCTTTCCTTCCACCTTACTTTCTTGCTTTCTTATACTTTCCTTCTTTCCTTTCTCTTCCTCTCCTGTCCTTCTACCTTGCTTTTCCTTCCTGCATGCTTACCTACCTACCTACCTGTTTATTATACAACCTTCTTCACTCCTCTACCATGTATCGTTTTGTTTTCCTTTGAATGACAACCTCCTTCTCTCTCCTTCCCCCTCCTCTTCATTCCTCTCCCCTCCTCACCCCTCCTCATCCTTCATCTTTTTTTCCCCACCTCATCCTTCTCGTCTTTTTCCCCTCTTCATCCTTTCTCTCCTTCTTCCCACCTCATCCATCCTTTCCTTCCCCCACCTCATCCTTCCTCTCCTTTTCCCCACCTCATCCTTCGTCTCCTTACCTCTCCCCATCTTTCCTTTCCTTCCCCCTCCACCATCCTTCTTCATCCTTCCCCCCTCCTTCCCTCTCCTCATCCTTCCTCTCCTTCCTCCTTTTCCTCGTCCTCTTCCTTCCCTCTCCTCATCGCTGCCTTCCTCTCCTACCCCAGGCCCATCCTTCCCCTCCCCTCCTCCTCATCCTTCCCTCCCCCTCCCTCTCCCTCCTCATCCTTCCCTCCCTTCCTCCCCATCCTTCCCCAGGCCCCATCCCGCCCTTCCCACCATTCAGACAAGGAGGCCATACCGAGACCGACGATTTGGCACATTGTTCCCCCCCATTCCCCTCCCCCTTCCCCTCCCCTCCACCCCATCGTATCATTGGTCTTTCTCGGCCATTTGTTCATTACCTCATAGAGCTCCCTTTCTCCCTCTTCCATGATGGGATCTCTCTCTCTCTCTCTCTCTCTCTCTCTCTCTCTCTCTCTCTCTCTCTCTCTCTCTCTCTCTCTTCTCTCTCTCTCTCTCTCTCTCTCTCTCTCTCTCTCTCTCTCTCTCTCTCTCTCTCCTCTCCCTCTTCTCCCTCCCTCCTCCTCCTCCCTCTCCTCCTCCCTCCTCCCTCCCTCCCTCCCTCCTCTCCCTCCCCTCCTATTCTTTTTTTTTCTTTTTTCTTCCTTTGTCCTTTCCCTCCCTCTCTCCTCCCCTCCTTTGCCACTCCACCCTTCTCCTCCCTCTTCGTATCCTTCTCTCTCTTTCTCCCCCTTTCTCCTTCCTCCGCCGCCCTCCCCATAGGCGCTTCATAAATCAGGGAGATTTTCCAGCAGATCCTCTGTTCCTAACAGAGATTGTCCGAGACTCTGGTTGACGACGGTGTAATATGATGATGGAGAGGAATGGATGGATGAATGGGTGGATGGGTGGGTGGGTGGATGGATGGATGAGTGGACGGATAGGTGGATGGATGAGTGGGGATAGGTGGGTGGGTGAAGGTGGATAATTGGATGATGGATGGTGGATGGAAAGGTGGTGGGTGATAGATGGATAGGTGGTGGAAAGATGGGAGTGATGAATGAAAGGGTGGGTAGATAAATAGATAAAGTAGTTGAAAATTATGATATAGAGGAGGGAGGGAGGGAGGGAGGGAATTGAACGGTGAATGCTGTGTCATTGCCGCAAAGATGGAAATAGAAAGGCGTTATCGCAACGCGACTGAAATAGATGGGAATTGACGAGGCTGCTTGACCATGGTGACTCAAGGTAGAATGGATGCGGACACATCTTGACGCGGGAGAGAGGCGGTGACGCAAGGCAGAGTCAGGTGTAGGTTTGATTGTGACGCAAGCAGCAGGTGCATGCATTGATCGTATAGCTGCTTTTTACGTTTTACTTTCCCGTTTGTTTTTTTTTTTTTACCTCTTTCGTGATGGACGTGGAATGTTTGGGTGTGGCGTGGGAGGGAGCGGGGGGGGGGGGGGGGAAGCGGAGCCAAACAACGAGTTCTGACGTCTTCGAGGCACGCCATGGATTATTTTTCCCCTCTGTCTGTCTGTCTGTCTGTCTGTCAATGTCTTTCTCTCTGTCTCTTTCTCTTTCCTTGTGTCTCTCTCTTCCTCTCTCTTTCCTCGTCTCTCTCTCTCTTCTCTCTCTCTCTCTCTCTCTCTCTCTCTCTCTCTCTCTCTCTCTCTCCTCTCTCTCTCTCTCTCTCTCTCTCTCTCTCTCTCTCTCTCTCCCTCCCTCCTCCCTCCCTCCTCCTCCCTCTCCCTCCCTCTCCCTCTCCCTCTCCCTCTCCCTCCCTCTCCTCTCCTCTCCCTTTCTCCCCTTTCTCCCTCTGCTACTCCTCTCCTCTCTTCTCCGTCTACCTTTCCTACCCCTCTTTGATCTCCCATTTCTCTTTCCTATTTCATAACTCCATGTATCCCCTTCTATCACTCCACTCTCATTTCCACTGTTTTCCTCCCCCTCCCCCCTTTGCCACTCCTTCCCTCCCCCATACTTCCACTTTGCCATTTCCCTCTTCCACCCTCTGCCCCTTGCCACTCCTCCCTCCCCCTCTTCCTCTTTGCCACTCTCCCTCCCCACTCCTCCTTTACCATTTCCCTCTCCCACTCTCTCCCCTTTGCCACGCCTCCCCTCCCTGTCCCCTTTGCAACTCTCGCCTCCTCCTCTCCCTTTGCCACTCATCCCTCCCCACTTCCCTTTGCCACTCCACTCCCCCCCCCTCTTTCCCTTTGTCACTCCCACCCCTCCCCTCTTTCCTTTGCCACCCACTCCCCCCTCCCCTCTTTCCCTTTGCCACTCCACTCCCCCTCCCCTCTTTCCCTTTGCCACCACTCCCCTCCCTCTTTCCTTTGCCACTCCCCCTCCCCTCCCCACTCTTCCCTCCCTTTGCCACTCCACCCCTCCCTCTTTCCGCTTTGCCATCCCCTCCCCCTCTTCACCTTTGCCACTCCCCTCCCACCTTCTCCCGGCGACCGCGGTGGCTGCGCTTCAACTCGTGTCGTTGTCATTATCAGGGCCCGTTTTAGCCTCGCGTTCGGGGCGCGGAGGGGCGGCTGCTGCGTCCGGCCGAGGCTCAAGTCGCTTTTATTCCGCGGAGGCCGTCGTTCGTATGATTGACCTCTCTTCACTCGCTGTGCCCGTGGGGGAGTTCGTATTTTGTGTGTGTGTGTGTGTGTGTGTGTGTGTGTGTGTGTGTGTGTGTGTGTGTGTGTGTGTGTGTGTGTGTGTGTGTGTGTGTGTGTGCGCGTGTGTGTGCGTTTGTTCGTGCCGTACTAACACGCTGTCCGCCTCTTCTTTCTTTCTCTGTCTGTCTGGTCTGTCTGTCTGTCTGTTCTCTCTCTTCTTGTCTCTCTCTCCTCTCTCTCTCTCTCTCTCTTCTCTCTCTTCTCTCTCTCTCTCTCTCTCTCTCTCTCCTCTCTCGTTCTCTCTTCTCTCTCTCTCTCTCCTCTCTCTCTCTCTTCTCTCTCTCTCCTCTCTTTTTACTCTCTCTCTCTTTTTCTCTCCTCTCTCTCCTCCTCTCTCTCTCTTCCTCTCTCCTCTCCTCTTTCTCTCTCCTCTCTTCTCTGGTCTCTCTCTCCCTCTCTCTCTTCTCTCTTTCTCTCTCTTCTTCCCTTCTCCTCTCTTCTCGTCTCCTCGTCTCTTCCTTCTCCTTCTCTCTCTCTCCTCTCTCCTCCTCTCCTCCCACTATCTCCCCTCCTCTCCCTCTCTCTCCTCCCCTCCCTCCTCCTCTCCTCTCCCTCTTCCTCTCTTTCCCTTTTCTCTCGCCCTCCTCCCTCTCTCTTCTTCTTTTCCTTCTCCTT